ATAAAACCAAATACATACATAAATATATATTTATTTATATTTCAATATAATTGCTTAGTAAAAGTTATAGAGAACTCAAAAGGGCTTATTTCTGGGTATATATGGATAGGGTGACAATGTGTAACGCAACCAGAATTTACCTCTGTATACATATATATGTCTCTCTCTCTGTGTTTCTTTTTGAAACCGAAATATGCAGCCTTTTAATAACTGTGGACTGCATTTAATATTTTTAGGAACAGTGAAGGCCATAACGGGTAGACAAATTAACAAACTGGGTATGGACCCACAAAGCCAGAGTTTTCTTTTATTTCCCCTGGATTTGGAAAGAAGATTGCTTTTTAAAATCTAAACTAAGCTTACTTTAGAACATGCTCTACAGTTTGTATTATTTCCCACATCAAAATGGCAAGAAACCATAATGCAGGTTTTGGCCCTTGTGACTGGCATGGTCTCTGAGGGCTACAAAAAGAATTAGGGGTCACGTGTACAGTATCAGTGGGTAGGATTGCCATATCTGGGCTACAACAATCCAGATGTCCACTAGATGGCAGTAAAGAGGCTTCTACATCCTTGGTGCCACCTAATGAATAGTTGGATTTTTGTAGTCCAGTTATGGCAATTCTATTGGTGGACCTTAGGACCTCCATTTCTATTTTAAAACAGCAGGCAAGAAAGGGAAACAAGAAAAAGGGAAGTGACACACATTGTCCTGCTGACAAAAGATCATCCAATCCAAAGTTGCAGTGTAGTTCAGGAAGGATGTCACCATTACCATCAATAAAGCTTGTGTCAAGTAGGTGTGTTCCTTTTGCAAGTGTCCCAAAATTCTTTGTTCTTTACGCTGTCTATTCTGTATTCTTTTGGAAAGGAAATAACCGATTTCAGACCATTAATCTCCTCTGTAAGCTTGCATTTGAGTGTTAACTTTTTTCCACAAACTTCCCCGGTCTTTCATTGTCTTACTTGTGGAAATGCCACTGTCTGTCAAATGACTTAGTTTTTATGGGAAGCAACAGTGTGTATTTGAAAGATACCAAGTTTTATTTTATATAAGAGGCATCCACAGGAGGCAAAGTGGGTGGGGGGCAAAAAGTCATGACAGGGATGACCACAGTGGAAGCCCTCTCCCTTTTCTTACATGTGACACTGATGCAATGCATGTTAAACTGGGGCAGGGCTTTGGACGAAGAGCTTAGGGAATAGTCTAAGACGATAATTTCTCAATAGAAAGAAGGGCAGAAGGCATAATTGAATGGGGGGGGGTTCCCTTTTTTCTTTCTTTTT